TAACATCTATCATTATGGCTAACTTGGTAGATTAGAATAATGCACATGAAAATGTAAAGCCATATTATTGCATAATAAAATTCCAGCCAGCATACACATAATATGGTTCACTGAGAAGCATGCAGTCTATGTTACCAATGATTGGAACCAGTTCAAAGTAAGGCAGATAAGTAAACTAGAGCCAGATTGGGGAGTGCATTGACAGCTGGCCATATTATTTTTTACTCAGCTTACTGAAAAGTTGACAACATATAGTGTGATTTTAAATATGTTTGAGAAAAGCAAGTTTTGAGGAACAATAATCAACAAGGGAACTTAGAATGATTGAGGGCGATGAAGGAAAATATTAGGTTAAATAGCTATGAAGTACCTATAGCCCATTCAGTCAGGAAGAGATTAACACCCATGACAAGTCAGTGGGGGTATAATGAAGAATAAAGTGTGAACTAATATATCAATGACTTAGGAAATAATTAGGTGCAGGAAAGAGTTAATGAAAGTGCTTATTGTAAGATAATATATACTACTAAATGTTTCAAATGCTGTCATAGTATAAAACCATAGAAAGGTGACAAGTAGAAAAATTACTTTATTGACAGGGAGTAAATTTGAGGAGCAAAATTCGGGGGATAGAAAAGATAAATAAAGGTTGCAAAGTGCCTTGAAAATAAGATATTTATTAATGTATAAAATTTTAATAAAAGATAACTTAATGGAAGAGTGTATTAAGGTCTCCTAAACCTGATGATCACTAATAATGAATGACAGGACCGTAAGGTGTTTGGTATGCAGCAACAGAGTAAGGTGTGGGCAGAAAGAAAGCATGTGAAATGGTGTAGTGATTTATCTTTATCAACACCTAGGGAGACAGGAGGTTACAAATAACACCTCATATTGCAAGCAATTTAAACAATTTCCTAAATACAATAATAGCAAGATGAGTTTGAAACCTAAATTCAGATCCAATATGTAGACAATCTATCATAATTATTTCTGTCATCATCATCTTTCATGTTGACATATGCTGAAAACCTGTTCCCTAAAGTGATCATTCTGAACAAAATACTTCAGAGTCAGCTAAAAATAAATAACCTGCATTGAGTATTATGTAATGTACGCATTCAAAAATGGCTTTGGATTGTGGAGTAGTGGAGCAAGAAATTTAGCAAATAGTTTGGCCTCTTGGGTCTCACATTTTCTCTGACACTTATGTAATTTAACCACTTAACCTGTGAGGTTGTCTTACTTCATTTGTAAAATGGAAATCATAACCCTGCTTTGGAAGCCTGTTGGAAATTAAAGGCTTTGTCATAACTAATGTTATTCTATTTAATATGTCAAATTAATGCAGCATGGCCATTTCACAAAAAAAACCCTGCAAATATCATTATCTAATTAAATTTGGCTAACAAAATAACACAACTTAGTATGTGAAATTATCCTTTTAATTGACAGGAGAGTATGGCCATTATAAGAGTCTCTTGGTCTGAATTTTATGTCTATATGAAATATAGCTAACATATATTATATTAATTTCAGATATATGCCATACTTATTCAACATTTATATACCTCTAAAGAAGTGATCACCATGATAAGTCCAGCAACCACTTGACACTGTACCACGCTATCACAATATTATTGACTATATTCCCCATGCTGTACAGTACATCCCCATGAATTATTTGTTTTATGCTTGGAAATTTGAACCAGTTACTCTCCTTCACCTTTCCCACCCTTTTTCAATTTTTCAATTACAGTTGACATTCAATATTTTATATATATATATATATATATATATATATATATATATATATATATATATTAATTTCATAGTATAGCATAGTGGTTAGACATTTATATAATTTAAGAAGTGATCCCATGTCTAGTCTTGTACCTACCTGGCACTATACATACTTACTACCATATTATTACCATATTCCCTATGCTTTACATCCCCATGACTATTTTGTAACTCTCAATTTGTACTTCTTAATCCCTTCACCTTTTACACCCAGCCACCCAAACCCCTCCCATCTATCACCCCAATAAACCTACCATCAATATGACACCATACAGTTATTACAATATTACAAGGGGTGATCAAACAATGAAGTGAATGTTTAAATTAAAAAAAAATATTATAGTAAAACACACATCGCCATTAATCTCCATCAAAATACTCCCCCTCACTTTAAACACACTTATCCCATAGTTCTTGCCACTTTCTGAAGCAAGTCTGGAAGTTCTTTTCTGTGAGTGCCTTTAGCTGCACTGTCATGGCTGCCTCAATGTCCTGAATTATTTTGACTTTGGGGAACAGACAGAAGTTACACAGTGCCAGATCCCATGAATAAGGTGGATGACGATGTTTTTATTTGACAGAAATTGCCATACCAGAAGCGATGTGTGACACAGAACATTGGCATAATGGAGAATGATTTATGGCACACTTTAAAACACCTTCTCTCAGCCATAGCTCACACTTGACTGACTGCACTGAACAAGTTGAAATTTGTCACACACTGTTACTAAGATTTGATTAACCACTTTCCGTATTGAAGATCCCTGTCTTTCCATTGGACGGCAGTTGGCAGCAGCATTCATGTATTTTGTGATCACAACGGAAAGGCTCCATGTCACACATTGCTTCTGGTAAAAGATAGCTTTGCTGGGTAGAGTAATCTTGCTTTTAGGTCCTAGTTTTCCATCACTCTCAATATTTCATCCCAATCTCTTCTGTCCAGCAAATTTCTGTTGAGAAATCAGCTGATAGTCTTAGGGAGGAGCTCCCTTTTAAGTAACTAACTGATTTTCTCTTGCTGCTTTTAAGATTCTCTCTTTGTCTTTAAACTCTGGCATCTTAATTAAGATATGTTTTGGTGTGGGTCTCTTTGGGTTCATTTTATTTGGTACTCTCTGTGCTTCTGGGGCTTGAATGTTTATTTCCTTGTATAAGTTAGGGAAATTTTCAGTCATTATCTCTTCAAATAGGCTTTTAATCCCTTGCTTGCTCTCTTCTCCTTCTCATAATTCTATGATGTGAATGTTGGCATTCTTGATGTTGTCCCAGAGGCCCCTTTAACTATCCTCATTTTTATGGATTCTTTTTTTTTTT